ATGTTTGCAAAATTTGTGTACTTGGAAAAAGGCATGTATCCGCAACAGACCTATTATCTCCGACTTTGTCCGGTCTGGATGGATCAGAGATAGGTTGGATGCAAATTCTTTTGTTTAGCCGAGAGTTTCAACTGTATCCGCGCAATGAAAAAGAATAACTAACGGTTCATCAATACAGATAGCAGAGCTAACTAAGCGAGCTGATCAGTACGGAAACAAAATTAGTTTGAGTATTCAACTGATTGCTAACTTGATTCCTCATTCTGGAACTAAACTCAATAGATAATTGATTAATTAGCAGGCTTAATCGAATATATGAACAATCGATTGATTGGTTATGGTGATGTTTGTGATAATCAACAACGAGCACTGGACAGCTGTTTCGTTTCATTTGGACCCGGTCAGCAGTAAGTACGTTTTGTGTCCGTTAGGACTCGAACCGCAAACTTTTGGGTTGGGACTTCTAACTCTCACCCTCTAAGCTACACGGTCGACGGTCATCACCTTGTGTGAACGGCTCAATCAATTTGGAGTATAAAGCTTGGATTAGTCCATTCGATTATTCAGAGACACCAGGCAATCTTGATGGTCTTGGGAGTGGGTTTCACTCCTTGAAAGATCAATAATTCCACTTTAGTTGAATACTTGATACTCCAAAACTGTATTAGGCCATTCGCACAAAGTGACAACCATCAATCGTGTGGCTCAGGGGTAAGGGTTTGAAGTCCCGACCCGAAGGTTCGTGGTCCGAGTCCTGACAGGGACACTAAAAGTACGCATTGCTGACGAGTTGCAAACAGAGCGAAACAGCTGTCCATTGTTAGTTATCACAAGCTTTTCCACCGCATTTTAAATGCATTTACCTCATGGGAATTAATGATCTCCCAAGGAGTGAAACCCACACAGAAGACCATCAAGATTGCCTGACGCATATGAACAATCGAATGGACTAATCCAGGTTTGATACTCTAGATTGATTGGTTGTTTGATTGACCGACTGGAGGTTTTAAGTGAATACTTGATTCATTAATCGAACCATCTGTTGAATTGATCAATCGGAATTCACAACACATTACTTTATGCAAATGAGTTCGGTCTGCCACAAGGAATGTATTTTACAATTGAATACTATCTACTCCCTGCCGGTAAGGGGGAAAGGATTTCGACCATACAATCCGATCACCCAAAACGTTTCTCTTTCGTTTAATTTGTAATCTCTATCCAAGTTTGATCAACACATTTAGCATCCCTTCCTTCAATTTTCATTTCTCTCCCTCAATCGGTCTCTTATCTGTGTGTAAATCAGTCAGTTCCGTACAAGTTCACTAATGGTATTAGTCCGGTCAAATCTAATTTATACAAGTCCTGAGCACGTTATGCGTCCAGAATTCATGGAAGATTCCCATAAGAATAGCAACAGATAGGCAATAAGACGAACAAGTTTGTTTTCGTAACATCGTCTTCAGGCATTGATAGTTGTGTGTGTTTATGTCGAATGTAGAAATAAATGTGACTGGTCCATTGAGGTTGAGTGTGAAAGGACAACA